TCTTTGCAGAAAACGTTATCAAAGGTTTGCTTCATTTATTTAGTTATTTATTAGTACTCCATCCACATATCTACATTTGGCAAACACTGAAACAGCCTACTACCCTTCAAGTATTTTTCCTTGTTAGTCTGGGCATCTGTTTCTTAGTGCACTGTAGCTTTTTCTTCTATTGACAGGAGTGTTTGCCACAACTCCCTTAGGTCTCCATATACTGCTGCAGTTCTGCTAATACTGACTGCTCATGTTGCTCCTGAGCTGTGTGTCTCTTTAATCAAGGAATATGAGCTGCAAAAAAAAAGCCTTGAGAAAAAGGTATTCTTTATGATCCTAATGAATATTGCCATATGGGCATGTGGGCAAGAGTTCCTGTGTGGTGAGGGCCTGCTACAGGTAATGCTATGGTCCCAGCAAGCTGATATTCGCCCTTCTGTATGGGAGAGGAGGTATATGGGAGGTAATGCTGTGGTCCCAGCAAACTTGTATTCCCCCTTCTATATTCACCTCCCATGGGAGTCTGGTTGCCTGGTAGATGGGGCGCTGGCTGGGAGTGAGGAAGCCAATTGCATCCCCTGCTGCTACTGTGCTGTGAGGCTTTGGATGAATTGCTTCACCTCTCTTTGTCCACATTTCCTCTTCCAACCTTTGTCGTTTGTCCCTCACCGTGCATAAGGCTCTGCTCTTCTGTGTGGCATCAGGGGTGCTGCTGTGTTTGAAACAAAACTAGTTTCAAAGCCAACAGGGGATTTTGCATTGTCTTTTTTGCAGTTTGACTGTGATTTTAAAAATAAAACATTGCAAATAAAAACATCAAATTCAGAGATCTCCAAGGATCGCTCTTAGTCCATCCAGGAGGGCCCCTGGCTCACAGAGGCTGCTTTCCTTGACCATTCAGGGCTTTGGATTTTGGATCAGGTTTTTTAAAGGGGTTCTCTGCATCCTTCGGTGCCTTCATACATTTCCAAGCACAGCCCTTGGTAACAGGCCAGTGAGCGTCACCCAGGAAGGAGATGGCTGGCAGCCACCACGTGGCCTGGAGAATGGGCGCAACATGCTCTCATTAGCTCTACCTTGCTCAGAAAGTGTTTTGTGTGTTAATAACTTTCTGGATTCCATTTTTTCCCCCCCCAGGCAGCTCCTGTTGCCATGGATACAGTGCTGGAGGTGCTAAGCCTGCCTAAAGATGGTAGATCATTTATAAGGAATATAAGATGAGGTGGAGATTTATGAACCTTCTCTCCGTCAGACTTGTGTCGCTGAGCCCCTCGGAAGTTTTCTGTCAAAGTGATTTTTTTTTTTTTTTTTTAATGCCGGGTGATGACAATTCATTGGAACTGAGATATTTTTTTTTATCGGGTTTTGCTATTTCCAGCATCTATCTGTAAAGGTTTATCAGATCTTCATGGTGCACATGTGTGTGTTTGGTGGAGGGGCAGGGCACCAGAATGGTCCGGCAGCAGGGCCATTCATCCAAGAAGTAGGTGACTCGGGTTGAAATCCATGGGCAGAAATCAACAGAGCGGGGACCTGATCCTGTGCCTCCAGCATCCCAGGCAAAGGTCCTGACTGCTGGAGTGGGTATGTCTCTCTGGGATGTTTCACTAAAAGCCCACCTTTGTCCTGACGGGGAATGGAAGCATGTTGGAAACCTGAGAAAATTCAAAGGATGCAGAAATAGCTTCCTGCTTGGCTCTGCTGTGTTGCACATCAGGCTTTCAACTCAATTCTGGGCCTCCAGACCCTCTTCCTTTACTTCCCTGCACCTGCTATGCATTGCATACTTCTCTCTGTTTGCCTGACTAAACCAGAGGGAGACCTGAGTGGACTCTGTGCTCAGGGTCCATGTTCCCTGGAGCGTGTCCATCCTCGGGAAGATACTCGGTTCTCATAGTGTGTAATGCAAAAGCCAGGATCTAAGGGAGCCACAGCCAAGGTAATGGGAAGGTAGCAATGGTGGCTGGGGGGGTTCTTGTGGCTAGGGAGTTGTACTAGCAAATCTGCTAACAAACTTATCCTGCCCCACACCACACACACACGTGTGCAAATTGCTCCAGCAACCTGTATTCAATTTGGAGCTCTGCTACAGTCTGTGTGTGGGACTCTGGGGGAGTCACTTAATTGCTTGGTGACCCGATTTCTTGGTGACCACTGGTAGCATTGCTCTGACTCTCTGGGGGACTGTGGGATGTCTAGATACCGTGGAGATATGGGCAGGGATCTGCATTATAGCGATATTAGAGGTGATAACGATGGCTGGACTGACTATCCAAGTGAGTACAGCATCCACCAAATTGTCACGACTCCACCACTGCTGAAGTCCTCCTCGAGCCTTTACCATTGATTGCATCTGTCTTCATTCTGGACTTCCCAAGACCATGCTCCAGTTTCCAGCACAGGCCTTCATCGCCCAGGAGAGATGGATTGGATTTCACAGGTTGCCTTCCTGTGATTGCATTTCCCCTGGGGACACAGCTGAAGTACACCTCCCCTCTTTGCTACCTCATGCCCACCCAGTCCCTTCCTTCGAACCCACCTGTGCATCTAAAGAGGTCATATAGATGACTTGCTCCCATGAGGAATTATGCAAAAAAAAACCCTCCACAGAGGCTATTAAGGAAAAACCCTCATGTCCAGGATTGGACACTTAATTTGGTTTGCTTTGGTCAAATTTCACGCTGTTGCAGTTTTTGATTTATGCACTTTGAAAGTCCTTTGCTGTGCTGGAGAAAGCCAGCTCACGCCGCCTGCTATAATTAAACAGCTCTAACTCTTCCGAGATGCCTCTTCTTCTTTTAATGACTCTGGGGCGTCCGGACCAGCCGGATGGTAAACAAACTAAATAGATTGCTTTCACTTTCCAGTCCTCATAATAAACAGATTTTGGATATGACGGCTGCTTGACAAGTCATTAAGATCATTTGATCACTGTCATAATAAATCACGCTTACTTTAGACAATGCGCTAAACCTCTCGCTGCTGCTGAGGTTACAAAATGCGGGATATTAATGACACCACATTCCCCGAAATTATTTATTAATTGCTTTCCCAGTGTATCGCATGGTCCCAGCTGAGATCAGGGCCCTACTGTGCGAGTGCAGCGCAACCCATGTGTTGTATAGAGGCTAAAGCATCAAGACAAAGAATGGGAGGAGACAACCAAGGTACAAAGAAGGGATGCGGCATGTCATAGATCTCAGGGAGGGTCCGTGGCAGAGCTGAGACTGCACAGCTGTATTTTTTTATCTCCTCTTACATCCCCTTGCTTCCGTGGCTCTCTGTTAGAGCTTCATTTAAGCAGAGATCGTTACTGAAGTTCCAAAACTGACTGTGGACTCCCCATTGCTGATCTGCAGTAATTAGTCAGCCTCTGAAGATTTGGGGTGGGGGTTCATTTCAGATCCGCTGCCAAGCATTTGAACTGCTTCTAGCCACCACTCCAGGCTCTCTGTCGTTGAGCACACTTGGGACACCTGCCATCCCCAGCAAAGGAGGGGAAGCATCAAATCTGTCAAAAACTCCTATGTCGAGCAAAGGACGGGACCAGATGCTGCTGGCTTATGAATTATTAAGGCATTATCCCTAGCCATCTGCACCACAGATCCGCCCATGTTTGCATACTACACCATGGATCCACACATGGCGTCATCATCTGGGCTGAACATCTGGAAATCCCTGTCCAGGCTTCTTGTGCATTAGTTACAGTCAGCAGGCAACACACACTTATTTTTGTTCGAATGTCATCACCACTCAGCCCCAGAGTTTATGGCCTTGTTATATGTTGGGGAAAATTAGGCTGATTTATATGCAGCTTTCCTCTTCGCAGCTAGAAAAACAGCCTCTGAATCGTCTCATACCACAGAAAGGGATTATGTGGCCTTTTGCCCTAGCATGGGGGCTCCTTGTCACGATTAGTGTACTTATCCTGACAGCACCCTTGATGGGGAGGGGAAGGGCTATTTACCTTGTTGTATGGGTGGGAAACTGGGACCCAGAGAGAGACTGGAGGTGGTGTTGTAGATGCTCAGGTCCCATTGATTTCCATGGACATTCTGGTGCCTAAATTTCTTTAGGGCCTTAGTTCTTGCCCTGGATCCCATACAAGAGATAAGAGAGAGAGCAGAGAATTGAGCTTTGGGAATCTAGCAGCACATCAGCTCTGTAACCATTGGACAGACCTGCCTTTCTTCAGCTGGAAAATGCCAAAGGGCATAGGCTCTGACTCTGTATGTGTGTACATATGCACAAGTCATTTATAAAGCTGAAAGAAGTTTAAACCCCTTCACCTTTCTTTTCAGCTGTTCTAGTCTGCACAAACCAAGAGGCCTCTAGCCCCAGGACTGCAACCTGTAGCCTTCATACCACAAAACTATCATCTTTTCCCATGTTAGGTTTATTCTCCACGGCATTGCTCTATCACCTATATGTCCTCTTTATGCTGGTAGAAAAACAGACCTAGGCCCCTTACCTTCACTTTTCACAATAACCCACCACATGCCTCAAATGGGATTTGACCCTAAGACTTCCAGCTTCATAGCATAGGGCTCCCTCCTTGAGCTATCAGACTGCAGCAAGGCTGTCATGGGACCCGAAGTGATTTAGACACCCAGTTTAATGGGTGGTGGACCTGATGTTCCTCATGCCACTGGGAGAGTCTGAGGGTACTGTCCATGTATGGTGTGTGAATTATATCTGAGATGATGATGAGCTCTTTGTATGATACGGTGGTTGTAACTTGTCTTGCTCCTTGTTGCAAGAGGAGGAAGAGTAACTTCTAGGCTTGCTGCCTCTGGGCAGGACAGCCTTGAAGGATCATCAACTACTGAAAAAAAACCTCTGCTTAGGTAAAACCCAGTTTTCCAAGTCTGGACTCCAGGTGGATGGCAACCAAGCAACAAATGACTTGGTAGAGGACCTTTATCACCTGAAAGGAGTCAGGTCTTTGAGGCTGATCAGGAGAATCACATGACAGAGGGAACCGGAAGTTATAAAAGGATCAGGTGTAGCATAAGGAGCACTCTCTTACGGGCCAGAACAAGAGGAGAAGTTTGAGCTGAAGGTGTGCAGGGATCTGGGATCTTGAATGACACTGAGAGGGCTCAAGAAATACTCAGATGTGGTGAGTAACCTGGCTTACAGGTGTTTCTTATTTTGCATGGGTCTGTGTATCACTTGTGAGCTCCAGAGAAGGGCTGCTAGGATGAACAGGCAGGTTCAGAGCCTACCATATGGGAGGAGATGAAAAGACCTTGGTTGTTTAGCCTAGCGAAAGGGAAGCTGAGGAGGATGTGATTGCTCTCCACAAATGTACCAGAACCAGGAAGAGAGAAGAACTACTCAAGAAAAAGCTTAGCACAAGAACCTGGGTCTGAATTGGTCATGAATACATTTAGGCTGGAAACTAGAAGACTAATTAGCAGTAGTGAGGTCTTGGAACAGCCTTCTGGCTGGTATAGTAGGGAGCCGTCAATCCTTTGGATCCTGTTGTACACATAAGAGGTCTAATCAGATGCCTGATGAATCCATTTGTGGCTGACGAGCCCAATCTGGGTGACACAGCTGGTTGGCACAGCACCAGTGACAAAGCCCAAATTTTTTAAGATGAAGTTTGATATGTTTGCGAGGATGATATAATGCAGTGCTTTTGATAGCAGGGACCAGATCCCATCTGCCAGGTTGTCCATTCTGGTTCAGTGCACTGGATTCCTGGGTTAAAAAACTTTCTGCAAAAGCTGGGTCTTGTTTTATCAATCATCACTATAAAGCACAGTGTCTACTGGTTGGGAGCTCAGTGGGAGGATTTGGCACTGGTCTGGAGATGCAAAGCAGTAAAGCCCAGGAATCCTACCACTAACACCATTGAGGCTATGTTCATCTGTCCAGCTTGGCAGGACATTGGTAGTGAAGCCAAACTGGTTTGTTTCTAATCAGTAGCACAGCTCTGTGGTGTCCTGGTTGCAAGTAGGTAGAGGGATGTTGCAGTACACAAATTAAATTATTTTGATTAAGCAATGCCCCAGTCCTGCCATGGGACCAAATTAAGCCTCACTTCTCATGTGTTTTCCTACAATTGCCAAGTGTTCATCCACAACTCCTTGGCTTGTACCTACGGCATCTGGGATGCCAAGGTGGTATCTCATCCAAGTACCACTGGTGTGAGGATGCTGAGCTTTCAAGATCAGAGACAATCAGATGCTTTGAGTCCCGCATGGTCACCTGAGACTAGTTATACTTTGCCTTAAAAGATCACCAGCCTTCTTTTAACTCCCTCCAGAGTAAACATAACCTGCTCGTGCTTCAGTTTACCGATCCTGGTTAGCAGAAGGACAGAGCCAGCATCTAATTCATCCTCTGAGATCTGCTGTCCGCAACACTGTTCTATAGAAAAAGGGAAGGCATAATCCAAAGGAGGGGATAGTGGAGTGACTGAAGAGAGCAGCAGTTAGAAGAAGAAGAAAGAGAGATTTTTCATGATACAAAAAAAAAGGAGAAAAAAAATCTCAGACTCTCTGGAGATAAGGAGAGGAGGGGGGTGCAGGGAAATGTTGTTTCTCAGCACATTTGGTTCTTCATTTCCAGACCGCAAGGCAGGAAGCCAAGCCAACTTTTATATCCCATCTCAATGGAAACTTTTGAGGACAGAATAATGCTGGCATGGTTTACTTTTATCAAATAAAGGGACTGAGATGGCTAACAGGTCAGCTTTCTGGTTCTTGTGATCAAAAAAAAAAGTGCTTTGTATTAACTTGTGTTGGGGGTTAGGAGAAGGTTTTACTAAAGCGCCTGCTTGCAGCCAGATATTTGCTGAACAGCTGGAGTCTTTTGACAGTGATGTATGTGACCCTCCAAGAACAGGAAACTTTAAAAGCAAGAGGGCCATGTTGCGGAAAGGCACCTGTCTTCCTGATCAGGCACCAACATATCTACACCGCTTAACTCCTCTCGGCCAAAATCTCCAGGGTGGTACTTTCAAAGTGTCTGAGTTGCTGGAAGCTGAAGTGCCCTTTTCAACAGTGATATCTGTATTGTAGAGCCGTTGGCTCTCAGTCCAGTTTAGGGTAGTGCTGTGGTGTAGCCACTAAACTACCGGCAGCTTGTGTAGATGTGCTGTAGCTCAGTTGAAACGAGTTGGCAGCACTGCAGAGTTCAGAGCTGACTAGGTCTCTGAGTGCTGGCCCAGCTTCTTGGGTGAGTTTTGCAGGCTGTACTGGGGTCCATATGAAGGCTGGGTAGATATGCACCATCACACACTAGAGATGGATGGAGATGGAGATATCATGACCCCAAGTTGACTTGCATTCCACCACTGTTCTCAGTCCCTGAGCTGGCAGCAAGACAGGCTTTCTTGGAAATGAATGGCTTACAAGTCAGTTTATGCCTATACTACTTACTTCATAATCCTGGGTGTGCCACCAGGCAGCACAGACCTGCCCACTCCCCTCCAACTGAACAAATTCAGCCTAAAAATGAGGCAGCAAAGCCCTTGGAGGGCACCTCCTCACTGCTGCTTTAAATGGCATACTCGAGTACAGGATTCTGGGTTTAGCCAGCATATAGAGGGTTTGGGCAGGCCAGGCTATGGTTCTTGGTGGTGCTATCACAAGCACTAGGGAAGCAGGGTGGGTATGCTGGCGAAGCATGTAGCCGTGTTGCGGAGTTAACTTGGGTGGTATGATCTCATGGTGCTTCCTTCACATGAACCTTTGTGTTCCTTCACCATAACATTTGTGTTGCTCTTCGGCACGTGCCATGCTAAGACTGTCCCAGCACTGCTGTAATCTGTTCTGCTTTCCAAATCCTTTTCAGTGTACTGCCAAAAAATTGGGCTGCCCTTGCTAGTAATATGGACAGATCTGGTGTCTGCCTAGGAAATCCTTTAAATTAACCCCTGCTAGTTTGACATACTCCAGAGTTTGGCCTTTGTTCCACCAGATTGGCTTTCCATGCTCCAGCTCTCCATGTTGTCATATGTACCGGTACAATGGGGGTGTGGGGAATTGCGGGGCAATAGAAAATCAGGCCCTCTGAGACTATATTTGCACATTACACTGCACCCATCGATTATAAAGTTGTTGTTTTTTTTTTAATTCAACACTACTTCTTGTGAACAGAGCCGTGTTTCAGGGGATTCTTTTGGAGAACAGGAGGGGTTTGGGATGAAAGCCATCCTGTTTTCAATCAGAATGCCTCTTGTTTTAAATTGAAACAGATGTTTTAATTTCAAAGGGTGGTTTAGGGGGGATAATTCTCCATGTGCATTCAGGGGAAAAATTCTCCTATGCCAGGGCACCTCTTTGGGATGGGGTAGGTGAGGCTTTCTTGACTGCAATCCTGGGGTTGGCAAGGGAGGCAATAGAGGCATGACCTAAAAGATCCAAAGTCCTGACGTTTTCCTCCAACCTGCTCTTCCAGCAGGAAGGAGGGTTGTCAAGAAAATGAAGGATGCAAAAACTGGCAGCAGAGGTCAGATGGGGAGACCTTTTCACAATGTCTCTACCTGTTGGCTGCTAATTATAGCTGAGAACAAGAATTGCACCTTTGGCTCACAACTTCTTGTGCTGTGGGTGGAGAAGAGATCATTAAGCGGGGTTAAGAATTAAGCTCTCGGATGGGCCAGTTCAGCAAAGGGCAGATAGATGTGTCATATGTTGTGTGACTCACTCGAGCTTCTGGATGCTGGTGTCATGGTGGCTTCATCAGTTCTTCCTCTGCTGCCACATGGGTAAATGAAGGGAGGCAGTGGGTTGATGAGGCCTCAAATGTCTCCAGTGATTAAAGACTCTGATCCCAGCTGTGGGATTGTGGTTATGACTGCAAGCGCCCTTTCTCTGCTGACTTGCAGATGGGGATGGCTTGAGACTGGATGTGCCCTAGAGGTGCCAACATATTGCATGGTACAAGGGGAAGGGAGCCCTGCTGGGGCAGGACCAGACACAGGCATGGGCAAACCAGGCAGTTGCCTGGGACCCAGACAGAAAGGAGGCCTGAAAATGGTACATTTTTTATGATGATGATTATTATTATTATCATTATCTCTGGTGAAGGGGGGCCCAATACTAAAAGTTCACCCAGAGCCACCAGGAGTCTAGGTACGGTGCTGTGCTGGGATGTGAGGATCCTTTTACATGAAGACTTCTGTGCATCATCTTGATTTTACAATGGGCAATACACACCCGAGGGTTTGATGGGATATCAGTCAATCCCTCTGAAGGATTTTACAACCCCTTTGTAACTTCAGGGGGACTTTGGGTCCATGTTGGTCCCTCAGGCATTGATGTGACTGCCAATTGCATAGTATTCAGTATCATTATAGTTTCACCTCTTTTTGGAGGGCCGCCACTTGTATTGGCACTCTGTATGCAGACAGACGTAACCTATCCAAGCATCCCTGACAATGCCATTGGCAGCCAGAGCTCTTTTTCTTTGTGCACATGTCTTGGCTCTGCAGATCAGGATGGGAGGTCTGGTGAGAACAGATTCTCACAAGAGACTGGCTTTGACCAGCCTTTTGGTCATTCATGATCCAGTAAAACATGAATGTTCAGGCATGGGACAGAATCTTCCCCCCCACCCTCATCAGTGATGTGGGTGTTGGGGCTTCTTGTGCACATAAACAAGATGATCCTGTGGTTAGTCACTGCTTAGGGAAATCTAGCTCCCAGTCCTACTTTTGCTATGACCTGATTGTGATCTTGAATAGATAATTCATTCTCTGCCTTGCTTCTCCATCAGGAACAGATCATTCATTTTGCCTTGCCCTTTGGTTTGGAGCTGGTCAGTCCACTGAATGTCTCTTGCTATTGTACATGTGGGCTTGGAGAGCATAAGTAACTTCTGAAGGTCACACCAGGGCAGATTTAGGAAGTGAACACAGGTTAGATGTTAGGAAAAACTATCTCACTAGGAGGGTGGTGAAGCACTGGAACAGGCTCCCCAGAGAAGTGGTGGCATCTCCATCCTTGGAGGTTTTTAAGACCCAGTTAGACAAAGCTTTGACTGAGATGATGTAGTTGGGGCTGGTCCTACTTTGAGCAGAGGGTTGGACTAGATGTGACCTTCTGAAGCCCTTCCCACCCTAACTTTCTATGATCTCCCACCATTCCGGCTAATGCTGTGCTT